CCTCTTAAGATAATAGATTTTTAAACACAAAACGTCGAGGGCGGCCTGCTGACGTCAGAAGGGTGTGCCCTTGCATTCAGGCCAGAAATATGTCCGCTGAGCTCATTAATAAAAGTGATACACTCAAAATATTCTATGTTAGAGGTTCTGAGAGCCATGGAACTGGAGAACTGAAGAAATATGAAACTGAACCTCTGGGCCGGACTCGGGGCTTCCAATTCTGAGCAATTTGGGTGCAATCGGGTCCGAAAGTGCCACCATTTGAGCCATTTTGCAAAACGGCTACTTTTTTGGACAGTATGGAATTCCATATCTGCCGTCGCCCGTCGTGCGTCGTCCGACGCGCGTCGCCCGTCATGCGTCGTCCATCAAATGGGTCGCATAGGGCCTGCAAAAGCCGCCCTCAAAATAATGTTGATTCAGTCCGTCTATAATGAAAACTATTAAGGAATCAAGCATTGTAAATATTTTATTATTTACATTCAGCTCTTTGGAATATCGTGCAGGGACACTCAGAAATATTACATAGGCTATAGACCTAACGTCAGGCCGTTAACGCGTAAAGTTACGTCTAGAGTAACTAAGTTATCGATGTTACAAAAATGGTATTATTTCATATACACATTGCTTTACCGATGTCAGTCTTTACAAATGAAAGGATATTATTCTTTCTTTCAAGTGGAGTTCGGCGCAACTGCAAAAACGAATACATCTTCTAGTTCTACTGCTAAAATGAGAGTCAGGCACGATGGATCGATCGAACAAGTACATGGACATGTGAAACGATCAAGGGTCAAAGTTCAAAATAACACTACGCAATCAAGACAAAAAAACGGACGACGGGCGACGCACGACGGGAGACGCACGACGCACGATGGGCGACGGACGACGCACGACGGGCGACGCACGACGGGCGACGCAAGATATGGTATTTATGGTGTCCCGTCGCGTCGTGCTTTATCAGGTATTTTCCATGTTGCATTTTTTGCCGCCTAAACGTCGCCCCTTCCGTCGCCCGTCGCGTCGTACCGTCGTGAGTCGCGTCGTACGTGGTGTCGTGCACCGCGTCGCCTATTACGTCGCCTGAAGCACAACGCAACGCGTCGTGTGCTGTTGCCCGTTGCTTCATGGTGTTTGTAGAGGGCGCCTTCACAGTTTTCTTCCATTTCTGTCCCCCGTGCTTGCAAAGTACATGCTATCTACTCTTTGGTGTTGATTTGTTCTAGTTTTTATCTCATCCATTCCTCGATTAGGATTAATTTCTGTCATATTTTATTAAGAAAAAGAAAAAAGAGCAAAAAGAAAATCGGCATATCTAGGAACTGCTCTCTCATAATAAGTGGAAGCCCAGAATTCGTCACTCTAAAGATGCCAATGATTTCTTTTTAATACCGTTGATGCAGTTCCCATTTGTGGTAGATTTGTAATTTTATAGATGATTAGACAGACAGACCGACCGATCGATAGATAGACGTGGTCCATCCCGGTAATTTCTAAGTAGTACTCCCAATTCCCCGGACAATTTGTCTACAATTGTGTGACCGCAAGTTTGACCACGGGTTTAGGAAGTTACCACCGAGCCTGCTCCACCTTAGTCTTCCTTCAGGCCAGTCTTCCTCGTTACCTTCATCAGCACCACACTTTCAATGATATTAGTCCGTGTTTCTGAATAAAACATTATACAGACGCTATTATCATTGTGGTTTCGTCTTTTTTTCAACTTTGTTTGGCCACACACATGCATAATTTCTCTGATTTCTCTGAATTTCTCTAATCCACATCTTACATTAGCAAGCACGTTATAATGATTGATGTACTGTATCTAGAATAGATTTAGAAATATTGTAGCGGACATAAGATGAGAATCATGACACCTGCTTACGTTATTTATTTGTTTACTAGTTTATGCCTTTTATTATCAGCTAACCAGTGAAAGTTAACTCGTTTCCGGCTAATATAGTGAAAAGTTTTTACACGATTTACGAAAATACAAATACCCTCACGTTAGAGAAAGCATCTGTTTGACAACGAAGAAAAACAGGGATTCTATTAAACAGAAAACATTATGAATTAGCAATGAAAATAAATAAAGGGCCTAGCTTGAAGACGATCTATTGCTGAAGTTGGGGACGACTTGGCTTGTCTTGACTTTGCAAGTAGATGTAGAGTTTGCAGTAGAAAGGCTTGCAGTAAAAAGAGCTTGAATGGAAGATGTGTTGGGCTAAGTGCAGATGATGTTTAGGGTTCAAATGCACAGTTTCTCCTTCCCCTCGACTAAGTAAGGTTTCGGAACTGGTCCAGGCCACCCACTGTCCAGTAACGTATGCATGTGTAGTTCTATGGGCTTACTCTGGTAATGTCTTTTTCCTAGAGCAGGACAGGGACGAATTTGCAAGTATGGCAGGTTCGATGGAAGGAGAAATCACAGAGAGACAACAGAACAGTCTCTGTTCAGTCCAGTAGCCAAGTGAAGTGGAAAGTCACTGGCTAGGGAAGTTATCAGCTCCTTCTGAAGGACTCTTGTGGCTGGTTGCAAATTCTGCTACCAACTGCCCACACGCGCTGCCAAGCAACCTGCATAAATTGTATGACCTAATTCTGGGGGAGTTAGGATTTCAAAAAGTAGGGGAACAAAATTAATTCTTTTACATAATTACTAGGAAGATCAAAATTAGAGCAGGAAAAGTTAAAACAACGTCGTGGCTCATGTTATTTATTTCCTGGAGACAAGGCTGATAGTTGGTCGTGACGCTCTTTCTAATTACATTTGATTAAAAAACAAACACATCTTGTCTTCAACAACTCACT